ACCACTGACAACTTAGGCAGGTAATTAACAAGGTCAGGGTTGTGTTTTTAAGATAGTGCTCTGTTACACTGTGTGGAAAATGGAATAGGAGACAACAAATGAGGCCCCATGGAGAGCAGCTAGGGGGGCTGTTGTGCTCATCCAGGAAGAGGGGATGTCTGTGGGTAGGCGCCTAGGAATAAAACTAAGTGGTAAAGCAGATAAAACTCCCACTTCCTGTTAGATGATGATATCGTCTAAGCTGCCCTTCCGGAGATCTCTTATTGGTTTAAGAAAAATAGCATTTTCTTTATAGTTGCCAACCTTTAATGAAAATGTTGGCTGTTCATTGTTTCAGGTACATAAATTAGGTGTACCACCTACATATAAACCTATGGTCAGAGATGGGGAAGGGTTCCCTGGGCATTAAGAACATGTAAACACTTTGTCAACCCTTCTTACTTTATAGTCACTGATGCTGCTCATGGCAATGAACGGAGTAAAGCAGGCCGCCCCAGGTATCCAGAGGAAGGGATTGCCCATGGACTCATACTCCTCAGACATGGACTCCTGAAATCATGCAGAACACGAGTTGATGGCAATTGGTATAAGGTTCATTTTTACTTTCTTAACTAAATCACTCAAATAAATCAACCCATCTGACCACCAAAGATACTTTCCAAGGTTCTCTTTGCAACTTCCTTCCACATTAACTTTCAATCACAAGTTGCAACAACATGGGAGCTTTGAACATGCCTCCTGCTTTACTTGGGAGGAAGCAAATGCCACCAGGTCGCAAGAATTGGCCAAGGTCCCACAGTTAATAACATGCAAGGTAAGCACAAAACGTCTGCTCTCTGACTTTATGAGGGTAACATTTAAGCTGATGTCTTTATGGGCAATAGAGCTGTGGACTGCCAACGCTACTCTCAGAAAGTGGTGCCAAATCAGTTCAGTCTAACACTTATGAAGAATCATTCCTCTGGCTCAACTTAATGCATAAGTAGCAAATTCAAACGTCTTTGGGGGACCTGGTAGATATAAATGCATGAGTAGGGGATGTTAGGAAATAAAAGTGATGGGGCTTGGGAGAAAAATGATCAGCACACATTCCACGTAAGGACATTAAGTCTTAAAAATGTCAAAATCCTGTACAGGTCAAAGAGGGCCTTGCGTTTTGCTAGAAGCTTTGATCTGATCTATGATCGGTTGCCTTGCTACACTGCAAGCCTTCTGTATCATGAGGTCTGATATCATGAGTTTTGAGATCATCTTACTTCTCTCTTCTCTTAGCCCAGCGGTTCTCAACCTGTGGGTCATGACACCTTTGGCAGTCGAATGACCCTTTCACAGGGGTTGCCTAAGACCATCCTGCATATCAGATATTTACATTATGATTCATAACAGTAGCAACATTACAGTTATGAAGTAGTAATGAAAATAATTTTATGGTTGGGTCACAACATGAGGAACTGTATTTAAAAGGCCAGAAGGTTGAGAACCACTGTCTTAGCCCCTCCTAAAACTTCGTGGCAAATTATATTTTAGCCCTATCCAGTTTGGCTCAGTGGATAGAGCGTCGGCCTGCAGACTGAAGGGTCCCAGGTTCGATTCCGGTTAAGGGCACATGCCTGGGTTGCGGGCTTGATCCCCAGTGGGGGGCATGCAGGAGATAGCCATTCAATGATTCTCTCTCATCATTGATGTTTCTATCTCTCTCTATCTCTCTCCCTCTTCCTTCCTCTCTGAAATCAATAAAAATATATTTAAAAAATTATATTTTAAACAAGAACTGCTTCTAGTTCTAACTAAGCCTGTTCTCTAATCTACTCAAAACTGAACACTCTTTAATGGAAACAATGCATTCCCAAGGAAAGTAATATTAACAGCAGTAATGATAACAAATGCATTTTATTGAGCACCTATGGCTTCCTGCATCATGTTTTATAACTCATGTTTATACTAACTTGGCCAACTGACCCGGGTGTTCACAGTGCCTCGTTTACTTCTAAAGAAACCCCGGTGATGAATTTCTTACCTGTACTTTCTGTGTGTGTGGATTGGCAAACCAAGGCTTGCAGAAGCCAAGTTGTTAAGGAGGCCCCAGTGTCTGGCCTTGATGACTCTGGCTGTTTCAACCAGGTCCCACTACTTAGGACTAGAGATGGTGACAGATCGAAGACCAAAAGTCATTCCTTTTTCTGAATTAATTGTATTTTCTGCTGTTCCACTGACCCTAAGTCATCCAATTAAGTTTACAATGTTATACGATTATTTTAAATATCGTGTGTGTGTGTGTGTGTGTGTGTGTGTGTGTGTATGAATGTAAGTAAGTTGTAAGTGTATAAAACATGACCCTGGCCAGTATTGCTCAGTGGTTGAGTGTAAACCTATGAACCAGGAGGTCATGGTTTGATTCCCGATCAGAGCATATACCTGGTCTTAATCCGCAGTGGGGGGTGTGCAGGAGGCAGCCGGTCAGTGATTCTCTCTCATCATTGATGTTTCTATCTCTCTCTCCCTCTCCCTTCCTCTCTGAGATCCATAAAAATATATTTAAAAACAAACAAACATGAACTTATTCAATAATAATAAGTTCATAAAAATCAACACGATGTTATTTCAGCATTTCAGGTATTTTTTTAAAAAAAACTTCTTATAGTTCAGGATAAGGGATATAATATTATACTTACTTCAAAATACGTGCTTCTGTCTGTCTGGATGTGTTCTGAAGAATTAAAAACTCCAAGCAGCCCATTGCTAATGATGTCCATGAGGACAGGGAAGCAATTCAGCCTTTTGGTATTGCATGCTATTGAAAATTTCTGGTGCTGAAATAAAACAAATGTGCATTCTGAGTCCTCAGAGAGCCAATGCGAAATGTAATGCAAAAATTTGATAGAAAATCAAAGTATTGACAACACAATAAGGCTAAAGCACTGAATACGATGAATACCACCATCACTAATATCTGATTAAGTCCCAAAATACTGCAAGAAATACAGTGTTGTGGTCTTTACTGGCCACTGCATCAGCCACAATATGTTATATGCAGGCTGTGGGCAACTAATTGTAGCCCACCTTCTCCTCTACAAATGAGAACTACCCCATCTGCTCATGTCAAATTGGTCTTTTACGTCGGTCAATATGTATTTCTCAGATTGCACGTTCATACTCCATCTTTGGTGAGATGCAGCAATCAGAACCCAACATACCTTGTCATCGCCTAACACCGTGATAGCACCGTTGTATGATGGCTCGTTGGCACCACGTCGAATTCCAAACGCATCCACTTCCAAAGCTATGTTCTGCTGCCTCAGTGAATGTATAAAGTTTTCAATGCTCGACCCTACCAAGAAGGTAAAATTCAAAAGAAGCAAAAATGTAGTAAAACAAAAGTCAAATAATATATATTTTTAAAACCTTATTAATGTCACTCAAAGCATACCATAATGATGATTTCCTTAAAAAGGCAGAATTGATGGTGTGGTACTAAAACCCATTCTGATACCAGGGATATGGCAAGGTAACTTTACCTAGAGGCTAGGTATTTTACTTATAATGTTGTTAGTGTACAAATATGCATAACTCACAGACAACAGTGAGGAAAGAGGGGTTTGGGGTGGGGCGGAGGTGGGCAAAGGAGGGGGAGATAGAGACATCTGTAATAGTGTCAACAATAAAAATCAATTGAAAAAAATACTATTTAAAATTATCATTATCATTCTTGAAGATATTAATCTTGTATTTTCTTAGAAATTTGGGATATATTTTCTTTCCAGGGCCTTAGAATGCATAGTACTTCAAAAATGTTATGGAAAGATCTAGAAGATCAGTCAATGGTCAAGTAAGCTTGCAAAATGTGTTTCTAAAACCAACTCTTCCACCCTCTATTTGCCATTTTTAAATTAATTTTCTGTTTGGCATCATGTCCAAATAGTCCATTTCTAAATAGTCCATCTGGTGTTTCTCAGTGTTTAGAGCATCAGCCCATGCACCAAAGGGCGTCGGGTTCGATTTCCACTCAAGGGCATGTACCTCGGTTGCAGGTTTGATGCCTAGCCCCGGTCAGGGCATGTGCAGGAGGCAACCAACGGATGAGTCCTCTCACATTGATATTTCTCTCTCTCTCTCTCTCTCTCCCCCACCACCCCTCCCTTCCACTTATGTGTGCTTTCTAAATAGTCCAGCTGGTGTTTCTCAGTGTTTAGAGCATCAGCCCATGCACCAAAGGGCCTCGGGTTTGATTCCCACTCAAGGGCATGTACCTCAGTTGCAGGTCTGATGCCTAGCCCTGGTCAGGGCATGTGCAGGAGGCAACCAACAGATGAGTCTCTTTCACATTGATATTTCTCTCACACACATTGATATTTCTCTCTTTCTCTCTCTCTCTCTCTCTTGAGTCCTCTCACATTGATATTTCTCTCTCTCTCTCTCTCTTTCCCCCACCACCCCTCCCTTCCACTCTTTCTAAAAAAGTAATGGAAAAATATCCTTGGGTGAGGATTAAAAAATAATAATAAAATAAAATAAAACATACAGAGTGTGATTTTTCCTTCATGGTTTATGCTGTCTGGGGAATCTCTGAACAAGCACCACATTGAAAGGTTGCACTTAAGCTCCATGCTCACCTGTTTTATTGATGACCAGTAAGTGTGTCAGAGGAGCTTGAGGCGGTTGTCCTGGTGAGAGGAAGTACATATTGGGAGACAGTCCCCAAGAATAACTCTGCCGATATATCTCATAGAATAGATATTCCAAAAGCTGAGGGAAAAGGCTAATGCACAAAAGCAGTAATCTGCATAAAGGAAAAGGTAAGAGAAAATCATGTAGAGCAACTTTGGTAGGTTTTTACATGTGGGCAGAGAATGGATGTTTTAATAGAAATTGCAAACCCTAACCACATATATGAATCATGCTTTTCTTCCCCGTTTCTTTTTTCCTAAAGTAAGATGGTTCCTATGAACCTCTCCTTGGTATTTCTATCTCTCCAAGTGCCGCCCTCTACCCCCTTCAGACATGTCATTCAAGCCTAGGAAATATGCTGATTACCACTCTTAAATATCCCTCTCTAATTCCCACTTTTTTGCTTTGATTCAGTCTCACACTTCTTCTTTTGGGGGGAACCACTGCAAGCTGGCATATCGCCAACACCCTGACCTGCTACACCCTGAAACTCTCCCTTTCCTCTCCCCAATTTCTGCAAGTTCCAACATTTTCTCATCCACTCGGGTTCCGAAGTTCAATTATGATATACTCATTTCTCTCCCGTACTTTCTTTTTCCAAATGTTTGAAAATTTCTCTTATCATCATTAGTACTTGCCTTGCACCTTCTTCTCTCTTCTACTTTTCAAGTTTGGACCTTAATTATCTCTCTTCTGACCTCTTTCAACATTGTCCTAAATGGCTCTTTTCCTTGTGCCCACTGTCTTCTGTTTCCAAACCATTTGCACTGTTTCCCGGCTAAGTTTCTTGGCATTCTGTTCTAATGATATCAATTGCCTGTTCAAACTAAAAACTAAAACTTCAAAAATTCCTTATTAGTCACAAAGTCCAAACTCTCTAGCTCTATGTAATATATTATCAACATTGTTTTTACTTTTTTGCACACTCTGTGTTGCAAAGAACTCAAATTAATAACAGTTCTGCAGACTTCCCATGCATCTCCACGCTCAGAACTGCTCTCTGTCTGAATTTCCGTCCTGCTTTCCCTCCTTAGCTAAATGTTCCATTTTCCTACATCAAATTCAAATTCTCCCTCATGTAAAATTCTTTTTCCAGTGCCCTATTTGGACGCTATGGTTGACAATATTGTCTGATTTTGGACTATGCTTTCTTACTGTGCTTCTAATCACCCTTGAGAGCCAATGGAATGAATGAGTGCCCTGGTAGAGAGCAGAGCTCATGCCAGGAGGTATCACTCAGTGAGAAACCGGAAGCTGGAGAGGACTGGAGAGGCTCCAGATAGTGATGTGAAGCCTCGGATAAGATGCGGCCCGGCACAGAGGAGAGTGCTAACATTCATGCTTCTGCTAAACTACTTCAACCTTTTGATAAGAGCAGATTCTGTGGAAATTAAGAGAAAAGCCCCACACTTTATCTGTTTTAATTACACACCCACCTAAGCAACTAAAAATGGGCTTCGACTTCTATGTTTAAGAGACCATATATAATTGCTGAAATGTATTTTATCTGTGATCGGTTGTTGTTTTTCCTCTCTTGAATTTATTTTGAATGTGCCGACCATGCATACCTGAAACCCTCAGGTACTCACATGGCCATCAGAGTTTTTTTTTCATTCTTTAACTTCAGGAAGCGAACTTTCGCTATGGCACAGGTCTGCTGCCTCCAGAGAGCCATGCCGCTGGCTGTTTCCTTTGTCTCATTAAAGGAAGACAAAACTTGTTCTAGCTCAACAAGGCCTCCTGTGTCTTTTGTCCTATCACTTTGTAACTGTGTCCAAATTCCAATATCTAGAAAATATAAAATCAATAATTTATAAAGTGCCATTTCAGATGTGCCTAATTTCGATTTCCCTAAGATTATCTACTCACTACATGGTGTCAGAGTAGAGAGCCTTGGACAAAGATACAATTAATCTAACTCATGGTTTTACTTGAGCACCTATTACAGAAATGGGAATGAAGCAAAAAGACGGAAGGAAGGAAGGAAGGAAGGAAGGAAGGAAGGAAGGAAGGAAGGAAGGAAGGAAGGGAAACTATAAGAAGAAAAAATGTGATATAATAAAAGAAAAATTTGTATTTTCTGAAGAAAAAAATTCTGTGTCTACAGCTTTAAAGGACTTAATTTATTCTAGAGAAATCAATGAAAAGAAACTTATATTTAGCCAAGAAGAAGAATCTATTCATTGCAACAGATAAACTATCTTAGTATTTCTGACCCAGCTAGAAAATTTAATATAGATAGAACCCTTTCCTTTCCCCTCTGGGAATATTAAATTGGTGGAAACAAGATTTTTTAATATAGCCATGGTTGAAAATAAAAGTTATGTCTTTTAGAAGAAGAGCCTAGAGAAATTGATCAGCTCTAGACTTTCAGAAAGCTAGATGAACATTAAAAGGTAAGTGCAACCAACCACAAAGAAAAGATATCAAGTGTATAACTTAAAAAAGGATAAAACATAAAACCCCACTTGATCAATAAGGAAAAAAAACAGAAAATGAAAGTGGAAAAGTGCAATAAAGAGTTGACACAGATAGTAAACCAGAAACAAAGAACTACCTTAGAATCATTAGAGAGAAAATCCCAAGGATGACAATTAGACTGACAGAAAAAATTTCAACAGTAACAATGGAACCTTGAAGACACTGGAATGATGTCATCAAAATACTACAAGAAAAGCAACTGTCAATCTACAACCCTAATTTCTTATCTTGGTAGCCCTTATACAATATTATGTTATATATATAATAATAAATATAATAATAATAATAAATATTGTCTGCTCCATGAGGATTTAGTCTTATGCACTGCTGTATTCCACATGCTTAAAATGCATGGTACAAAAATAGGATATTCAAAGTGGGAGGCCAGCATTGAGAGAAGAGGGTAGGAAACAGAAATACATTTCTATCTGTTCTACATTTTCCCAAAACAAGACTAAATCATTAGACTCCAAAAGCATATCATTTCAACATTCAAAGTATATTTTCAAGATAAAATACTGCACATAAATATAAAATTTAAATTTCTTTTTTTTTTTTTTTACCTGATTCATCAATAGCTGATTTTCCTTCTAGCTTCAAGAACACCTCATTCAAAGTTGTCATGGAAACACCGTAATTCTCAATGCCTTGATAAGACCATCTATCAAGATCCCTATAAAGGTCTAAAGGTAGACACAAAAATGCATCCAAGAAATATGATTTGTAATGAATGAGATTGATAATAACATTTTAAAAAATAGAAAATTCATGTGATAGAATGCATTAATCAGAAGCAGGTATGATATAGACTTTCTTTTATTTGTAAAATAGTCTAGACAGTATATACATTTCCATGTCTTCTTGAGTATAAAATGTTAAAGTTATTTTTTTTATTCTTAGAAAACTACATATGTGAGGGATTTTGAAATGTTATATTTTATTTAATGTTTTAAAATATTTAATTGTTAGATTATGAAGAGTGTTATAGATAGATTGACTGTGTCAACCCAAAATTTATATGTGGAAATCCCCATTATTTAAGAAATATTTTCTAGAAAATCGGGATTTATGCTTTCATGTTAGGCTTAATTGTTAGGCAATACAATAACAAATGCAAAAGAACTAAGGTTATTGTAACATCAGTATAAACCACTCTGTGGTCTTTGCATTCTGTTACCTGGGAATTTGTTTGTCCTTTCCAAAGGCAAAATATATACAAGCTTTTCTTCACTTTGTGCTGTTAATTTGGCATCAGGGATGTGCTGTTTAACAAGCGATGTTATATTGTCTGGATCACACATTTCATTCAAATGCAAACTAACATTTAAAAAGAGTAAATTTAAATTATTTTTCTCGAACACTATCTCTACAAATAATTGTAGTATGTGCTCGTCCTTTCATTAATGAGACAAAACATGTATAACCTAATGAACGAAGTGAGACATAAAAACACCAATATAGTCCAAACTGTATAATCTTTACCACATGTCTGGGGAGCGAGTATAAGGGATGTTAGAGATAGAGAACGTGACTCAAGGATTAGTATTTGGAGAAAAGACATACTCGGCTAGACCGTGGCTGGGGTGAGGTGGAAGGGAATGCCTAATTTTGTTTCCACCTGCTCAATAACTCAACTTTGAATTCGCCCTTTGCAAAAACTAGCACTGGAACATGGGAAAAACAAACACAGAGGTACTTAGTATAGTCATTAAGAACGTGGTTTGATTGTTCTACTGATCCTTGTTCCAGAATGCAGGTTTAAGGTCTCTGAGCATCAGTTTTCTCATCTGTGAGACTGAACAATACTAAGCTTTCCAAGGATCTCAAAATACAGAACAAAATAAAATATGTATGAGATAGCACAGGGTTTTGCACTAAGGAAACCCTCAATATGTTAGCTGATGTGATCTTTTTTTCTTTTTTGATCCAAAATGTATTCAAGTTGAAGGTGGTCTGTCTTGTTAAGAGAACAGACAAAGTTCTTCATGAAATCATTGGATTTGAGCAAGCCCATTATTAGTCACATGCATTGAATTACACTGAGGCTATAGAATGACAAGGGTATCACAATTGACTTTGATGACATAAACCTAAAAAAATTCATTTTAGAAAAAGCTATTTTGTGCTTACAAGGCCCTGTGCTGAGCACTAAAATACCAAATAAGAATACAGCCCTAGCTGGTTTGGCTCAGTGGATAG